TACAAACCTCTCCCCAACATAACTGCAATTGTTGGGTTCAGCTCCCTGCAGCATCCTGTTTTTTTATTTAATGCAGCTGTGCGTGGCTCCGCCCACTGCGCCATCCTTTCACAGGGATCTGTAAATGGGAAGAATGCAATTCCCATCTGCCACTGCAGCAGGGGGACAAGATCACGTGGGAGCGGTGATATCACTGCACTTGTCTTTTTTTTAAATCAAAACTTTATTTATAAATTGATAAACAAAGGCTATAAATATAACAGCTCTGGTGACAGGTTTCATTTGTAGTCCATTGATTAATTTCTTCATACAGTCTTGGGGCTGGGGGTACACATTGCAGGAGCCTGTGCATTGCACGCATGACACAATGATCGCAGTTGCTGTGCAGGGTTCAATGCAAACTTGATTATATGTGGGGGCATGTATTCCATTTTTGCAGAGCTGGACTATGCATTTAAAGTGCATGTATAGACCAGTATTTCTTACAGTAGGGAAGGGTAAAGGCCCATGCCAGGTTATTTCTTTCCTGTCTGGGTCCTGTTGGGGAGATTTCCCTTCACTTCCTGTCCCAGAGACGCAACAGGACGTGAGAGGAAATGTCTACAAAGTGAATGGGGATTCCCCATCTCTGTAACATTAACTTTTTGTTTTCATGACAGGATATTGGTTTCCCATCACTTTCTGTGACCACAATCATCAGGACAAATAGAGAACTTTCCTCAATGGGAGCAATATAGGCTGACAGGGGTTCTGACTTCTCGCATCTGTATCCAAAATACGTAACGTTTTGGCTCTGCTCACAATGTATTTATTTTGCTAACAAACCTTTTATGCAAATCTAATCGGTGGCAGGTTCTCTTTAATGACAACAAGGGCGAGGAATGTATTGTTATAATGTTTGGCGATAAATGACCCTACGCAGCGTGACGTCTCAGTCACGTGACAACTCCGGCTTAGCTGACACTCCCAACGGTCACATGGGCGGTGTTCTGATTTGCGTGCCCTGCGTTTGACATCATCAGCGTGCTGCAGACGGCGGTAGGACAGCAAGGTGACCGATCCTCTGTATCCCGGGAGAGGTGAGTGGCGGAGAGTCGGTGACCGAAGGAATGGTGGGATAGAGGCGCAGTGCCACCATTTCTTCTGTATTGCCGCCGATTTACAATGGAGGGTTTACATACAGATTTATTCTGCATGCCAGAGCCGGTAACCGTTTACCAGTTACTGCCCTGTCACGCTGCTGTCAGTGACTTTGTACGAAGCTGGCCCTGTCTATAAGACGGGAGTGTCTGTGTACAGGGGGGGTCGGGGGCTTCACATCTACTTTATTAAAGCTCATTATACAGACTGTGCAGTAGTACTCGAACTGCAGAGTTCTGTTCAGTACATGACCCCCCCCTCTGCGGAAGCTGCCCCTACCCCTCGTGCCCCCTCTGCGGAAGCTGCCCCTACCCCTCGTGCCCCCTCTGCGGAAGCTGCCCCTACCCCTCGTGCCC